ATAACTGAAATTAAGAATTAAAACTATGAAAAATGTTGAATTAACAAATGTTGATACATTTTTTATAATAAAAAATATTTTAAATTCACTAGAAAGGTTCAAATACTCTCTTTTGAGTTGGCAGAAAAGGATTCAAGAATTGAAAGAGTGAAGACAAAATGAAATCTGTGACACCCTATCAAGAGGACCAGTAGAAGCATTATCAAGTTCCAGAAGGAGAGGAGATAGAAAATGGCAGAAAAAATATTTGAAGAAACAATGCCCAAAAACCCTCCAGATTTGATTAAAGTCATAAATTTTCACATATTCATACAAAAAGCTTAAAAACCTCTCAGTAAGGCAAACTCAAGGAGATCCATGTTTAGACATATTATAATAAAACTGTTGAGAGGCAATAGAAGCAAATACATTGAATGATGAAGCATGCAGGGGATTGTAATAGTTGCAATAAAATGAATACGATTGTAATCATTGCAATGAAACGGATACAATAGGATGAGTGTAAAACTGATGTTCCCCCATGTAAACTATCACTCAATCCACAATAAAAACTTAAAATCAAAACAAAAACCCTCAGGGCAACAAGTCTCTAATGAGTGTCTTTAGTAGACGTTTCACCATGTTGTAAAGACACTACTGGAGAATAAAGTACATTCTATGTTACTCCACTGTGAAAGGATGTTTTGAAGTTTGTACACGATTTCCTCTGTACTTCACCCCAGGTATCTTTTCCGTACTTGATGTGGAGCTGTGGGCTAATGCGTCAGACTGCAAAATCGTTTGAACTGCAAGGTTGGTGGTTCAAGCTCACCAGCTGCTCCTTGGAAACCCTATATAGGGTCGCTATGGGTCAGAATTGACTCAATGGCACTTAACAATAACAACAATCTTTTCCATTTGCTGATTTTACTTTGCATCTTTTTGCAGTAATAAATCATAGCTGAGTGCCACTGAAAAATAAATAAATAAATAAATAAAACTTTATCTTTCAAACTAAAGATAAGGAAGTAATCTTGGAAGTAGCAAGATTACTTGGAAGTGAACAGTTACAGCACCAATTTCTGAAGACTGTCAATTTGTCCTTAGAAATTATGATGGCTAGAGGGCAGTGGGATGATACATTCAAAATGCTGAAAGGAAAGAAAAGAAAAGAAAAGAAAAAAAAAACCTGTCATCCAGCAAAACTGTGCTTCAAAAATTAGAGTGAAATTAACATATTCCCAGCCCTGGTGTGGCACTGTAGGCTAAGCACTGGATGCTAACTGCAAGGCTAGCCCTTCAAACCCACCCACTGCTACTTGGAAACCCTAAACAGGGTCGCTGTGAGTCAGAACCAATTTGACAGCATTTAACAATAAAAACCACAGTTAAAAAAAAAAAAAAGTTAAAACCTGCCCTAATTGAAATGGTATAGGTGGTACTTCATTTGAAAGGTGAGGACCCTAGATATTAAAACAAATTTGTATAAGTAAATGAAGAACCATAATAAAAATAATTCTAAATCCAAACATAAGGGCCAATTTTTCTGCATTTTAGTTTGTAATTTTATCTGTTATGTTCTACATACCAATTTATACTTTTGTATAAATAATAATTGTAAATACATGACATTATCCTTGTCAGATGGAATATACATCATCTCTTTCCATACGTTTATGGAAAGAGATGATGGAGAAGTTCAGCAGCATCAGTCAGGACAAGGCTGGGGTTGCTGAAGAACAGATCATCAAGTCTCATAAGTAAGTTCAAGTTTAAACTGAAGAAAATTAAAAGAAGTTCACAAGAGCTAAAATATGACCTTGAGTGTATTCCGTCTGAATTTAGTGACCATCTCAAGAATAGATTTGATGCACTGAACATTAATGATCGAAGACAAAATGAGTTGTGGGATAATATCAAACACACAACGTATGAATAAAGCAAAAAGGTCATTAAAAAGACAGGAAAAACAGAAAAGACCAAAGTGGCTGCCAGAAGAGACTCTGAAACTTGCTCTTGAATGTAGCTAGGTAAAGTGAAAAGAATAAATGCTAATGTAAAAGATCTGAACAGAACCATTCAAAGGGTAGCTTGAGAAGACAAAGCAAAATGTACTGAAACATGCAAAGACCTGGAGTTAGAAAACCAAAAGGGAAGAATGTGCTTGGCATTTTTCAATCTGAAAGAAGTGAAGAAAAAAATTCAAGCCTCTAGTTGAAATTGAATGATTTCATTTGAATGACAAAATATTGAGCAGCACAGGAAGCATCAAAAAAAGATGGAAGGAATACAGTCACTGTAGGCCCCCCCCCAAAAAAAATAACAATAAGTTGACATTTCAAGAGGCAGCATATAATGAAGAAGCGGTTAATATTGAAGGCATTAGCTAAAAAACAAGGCTCCAGGAATTGACAGAATACAAATGGAAATGTTTCAATAAACAGATACAGTGCTGGAGGGGCTCAGGAGTCTATGTTAAGAACACTTGGAAGACAGCCATAGGGCCAGCTGACTGGAAGAGATCCTTTTTTGTGTGCCCACTCCAAAGAAAGGTGATCCAACAATATATTTAAAATTCTACTCAAGATAAACTGTACATTGACAGGGAACAAGAAAGACAAAGAGGACATGGAACACGTTTTAGCCAGCCACGATTATGTGTTTAATTTCATAATTAACTTTCCATAGGTGACAAAAGATGAAGTCTTGTAAAAATTTAAAGAAAATTATGAATTGTTTGGAGAATTTTCTAAAATTTTCAACACATTCTACCTGTTGCTGTGGAGTTGATTTTGATTCATTTGTTGTTGTTGTTAAGTGCTGTTGAGATGACACCGACTCATAGAGACCCTATGTACAACAGAACGAAATACAACCAGGTCCTGGCCCATCCTCACAACTGCTGTCACGTTTTAGCTAATTGCTGTTACCACTGTACCAATCCATCGTGGTGGGGGTCTCCCTCTTTTTTGCTTTTATACTTTTGTATAAATAATAATTGTAAATACATGACATTATCCTTGTCAGATGGAATATACATCATCTCTATCCATACGTTTATGGAAAGCATGATGTCCTTCTACAGGGACTGGTCCCTCCTGATAACAAGTCTGAAGTATGCTTTAAAAAGGTATTTGCAATGAACAAATCACTGGTTTTGCAAAATTTGATCATGTGATCTCTGCCGGCCCCTCCGGAGGAGACACGAGGTCAACCAGCACAATCACCTGACTCATGCCCGAAGGACCCATCTCAAGGGAGACACCCGATCTGAAGTGTCTCCAGAGACACGGGTCGACAAGCGAACCGCAATCTTTTCTGTCACCAAGGCCATATTTTCCAACCACTGATCCTTCCTCTTTGCTTTTCAATCACCAATAATTATCAATACATCTTGATTGCCTGTTTGATCAATTTCAGTCTGAAGAAGTTGGTAGAATTCTTCAATTTCATCATCACTGGCTTTAGTGGATGGTGAGTAAATTTGGACAATAGTGATATTAACTGGTCTTCCTTGTAGGTATATGATATTATCCTATCACAGACAGCATTGTACTTCAATATAGATCTTCAAATGCTCTTTTTGTTGACTAATATGACGCCATTCCTCTTCAGTTTGTCATTCCCAGCATAGTAAACCATGTGATTGTCAGATTCAAAATGGCCAAAGCCAGTCCATTTCAGCGAATGCCTAGGAGATCGATGTTTATGTGTTCCATTTCATTTTTGACAATTTTCAGTTTTTCTATTCATACTTTATACATTCCATGTTCTAATTATTAGTGGATGTTTACAGGTGCTGGTCTGCATTTTGAGTTGTGCCCACTAGCAGTTGAAGGTACCAAGGACTTTACTTCATTCTGTCATCACCGTCAACTCTATTTTGAGGAGGCAGCTCATCCCCAGTCGTATTTTGAGTGCCTTCAACCTGAGAGGCTCATCTTCCCGCACTATATCTGACAGTATTCTGGCGCTCCTCATCATGTTTCACTATTCAATATTCAGGTGCTGTCTGACAGTGTTCTACTGCTATTCATCAGGTTTTCAGTGAGGAAATATTTGGAAGTAGTCCTTCGTCAGGAAGCTCATTTGAAACTTGTCCACCATGTTTGATCCTTGTTGTTGTTAAGTGCCGTCCTGCTGGCATTTAAAATACTGGTGCCATAGCTTCCAGAATCACAGCAATACGGAAGCCACTACAGTAGGACAAACTGGTGATTCCTGGGCTCAGAGCAAGAGTTTTCACTCCCATCACTTGCGTTCTTTCGCCAGCCAGACCACGTGTTGCAATACCCCTAAAACATTCTGTAACCTCTAGAATTTTTGCCCACTCTTCCAGAATGCAATTTGTTTACTACCAAACTGAGAATGTGTACCGTGTTCGGGAGCATCGCTGAGGTCCTTCTAGTACTATACTACACCCTGTGTGTGTTGTCCCTCAGCTCCCACGACCCAATCCAGTCCTTCTCCTCCACCTTTGCCTTGCACTTCTGTGGACTTCATTTAAAGGAGGGCACCAGCTCCCCAGCGCTCCAGCGTCTTAGAGCCCCATTGTCAGACGTTGCATTTGATCTCCTGGGACTGGAACACTCCTTTACTTTGCTAGCGGCCTGGGCAACCTAGTCCTTGTCTGACTAAGAGGTTCGAGCCCCGGGCCTACTGAATCGGGACGCGTGTCCCAGTAGGCAGCAGTCGCGGCGGCGGCGGAGGCTGGCGCTAGGGCGCGCCGGAGGCTCCCACGGAAACATCACTGCGAACCAAGTCGGCGCGGAGACTTGAGGTGTCTGCGGCGGACCTCAGGAAGCGCACCTGCTGGACTGGGCGTGGAGGAGAAGGGGCGGACAGGCCACCCGACCCACGCCCATCTGGGCTCCGCTGGCGGACCGGCGGCGGAGGACAGCGCCTGGGGACTTGGGCGCGGACGCGGACCCGGGAGGACGCGGCTCCCACGCAGAGGTGCCAGGCGCGCAGCGGGCAGGCCTGTGCTGCTCTCCTAGGAAGCGCCCTAGCCCGCCACGACGATGCCCTCCCTGTGGAAAGATATCCTCCTGGAGACCCTCCTGGGTAAGACGAACGTTCGCGGGTCCCCCCTTTCTCTCGTCGACCTGGCGCCGCGGCGCTTGGCGACGTTGCTGAGCTCGGGAAAGAGAAAGCGCTCTCCTTGCCCAGAATGGAGATGCTTATCGTCCCCTGGGACCTTTTGCTACTGAAGAGGAAAAGAAAGAAAAAACCTAGATTTAGGTTCCAAAGCTTAAGATTCAGGGAGGCGCCCGCAGCAGACAAAGCGTCCCCACTCCACCCCACTCCACCCCAGAGCTCCACTGAGTACTAACTGGGGTTTCGCCCAAGGGGCATGATTCTTCACGTGCCCCAACCCCTCACCTATGACTTTTCAGTTTAATTTAATGAAATTCAGTACTGAACTTTAACTTTTAGAAGGAAAAGGGCATCCGTTCCCCCCCACCCCCAGGGTTGTAGGTGAGCACAGGACAGTAGCCTCTGGCCTTGGCCTTGATCAGGCAGTGGCTGCGTACCTAGGCATTTGGTGAGAAGCTTTGGACTGAAGTCCTGTTTGCTTACTTAGCAGCTGAGGACCGGTTAGTGTAATTAGTGTTAATTGGGTCGGAGCTATAAGATTAACATCAGAGTTACTGGATAAACATGTTCGAGAGACTGCTAAAATTCTGTGTTTCGGTAACAGACTAAGATTCCCTGAAGTTGGGAGGAGCGCCTTCCTGAGAACTTTATTCAGTGGGAGCTAACAATTCAGGGTGTCCTGGTGTGGTGTTGTAGGATAAGCACTGGACTGCTTACCACAAGGTCAACAGTTCAAACCCACTAGCCGCTCCTTGGAAACCCTGTGAGTCAGAACCGACTTGTCGGCACCCAACAACTGTAACAGTCAGTCTCTAGAGAACCTGAATTACCAGCTCCATAGGATAAGCACATGGTTTGACTGACGGTTCGAGCCCACCAGTCGCTCCACAGAAGAAAGATGAAGACTTTTTGCTCCCACAATGATTTAAAGCCTCAGAAACCCTCTACAGGCTCGCTATGAGTCCCAAGGGCCCGAGGTCACTTAGTAACAACAGTCATTCTCTCTCTCTCTGTCTCAGAATCTTCCAAGTCCATTCCAACTCATGGTAATCTCATCTTCTAAACTCAGAGTGACCCCATGTGACAAAGTAGAACTGCCCTTGGAATTTTCTAGACTATCAGTTTTGTGAAAGTAGATCTCTCCAAGTTTTTCTTCCGTGCAGCTTCTGGGTGGGTTAGAACCTGTAACTTTTCAGTTAGCAGCCCAGTGCTTAACCTTTTGTGGCAACAGGGTGATGAATCTCAGACTGCTAACCACAAGGTTAGCAGTTCAAAACTACCAGCATTTCCATAGGAGAAAGATGAGGCTTACTGCTCCTGTAAAGATTTACAGCCTTGTAAATAGGGTCACTATGAGTCGGAACCAACTCTACGGCACACCATTACCACCACCATCAACAATCAATAAGTATCTAGGAATCTAAACAATCCATGCACTTTATTTCTTTTAATTCTACTAGCAACTTTGTGGAAGTCCCTGGGAGGTACAATTTACATGCTGAGCTGCTCAGTGAAAGTTTGGAGGTTTGAATCCACCCAGAAGCACACAGGAAAAAAGGGCTGATAATCTACTTGAAAGATCATCCATGGAAAACATTATGGAGCATGGTTTTACTCTGACACACATGGGGTCACCATGTGTCAGCATGGACTCTGTGGCATCCTGTCTGGTCTAGTAACTCTGAGGTCATTAAATACGCCCTGATTTTGCTGATTAAGAAAGGGTGGTTGAGGAAGCTAATTTTGGGGAAACGTTCTCATGCAGAGTAGTTATACTAGGCTGTCTTTGGGGTCAGACTACATGGATTTAAATTCACTCTGTCATTCACTTCTTATATGACTTCGGGCAGTTATACTTTCTGAGTTTCAAGATTTTTGTCTTGTTTAAGAGTGTGTGTGTGGTGGGGGGGACCGGAGGTTGTGTAAGGAATAAGAGACGATCACATCAAATACTTAGCAGAGAGTTTAGTACACGGTACAAATATTATCATAATTGTACAAGATTACAGTTAGTAGTTGACAGAATCGAAACTGACTTCAAATCTGCGTATACCTCATCACACTTCCTTTTAAGAGTTGGATTTTGGATAGCTTTAAATAGAAAAAGATGGCTATCTTTGGATGTTGCTTTTTGACTTTCATATATCAAATTAAATAGAGGTGAAATTTTGTAAGGAAAAGTTGTTATCCATCAGGGCTCTGTTAGAAAGCAAAATTCACCACCAATGATACAAATGAAGATGGACAGTGTTAAGGGGATTAACAAGGGATGTTGAGGGTCTCACGTAACAGGAAGAATAATAGAATAACAGGAAGCTATTCTCAACTTCTGACTTCTAGTGCGGCACTGTAGAATAAGCACTGGACTGGGAACTGCAAGGTCAGTGGTTCAAATCCACCAGCTGCTTCTCAGAAACCCTTCACAGGGTTGCTATGAGTTAGACTCAACTCAGCGGCATTTCGCAACTCAACAACAACATTCTCAACCTGGACCTGACTGGAAAAGGAAGGAATTCTGTTACTGGAACTCAATGAAGGCCAGTCATGAGGGAAGGTGGTCAGTGGGAGTACATGCAATGGATAATGTTAAAATTACATTTTTGCAATTTTTTTTTATAGGATACATTTCTTGGTCTCTCTACCATGGCCTGGGACCAATGATCTATTACTTCCCTCTGCAAACACTAGAACTCACTGGGTTTGAAGGTTTTGGTATAGTGTATCTTTCTCCAGCATTCCTAACAATTACTCCTTTCTGGAAGTTGGTTAACGAGAAGTGGATGCTAGCCCTGTTGCGGATAATGACTCTTGGTAAGTTTTTAAAATACTGTTGGTAAGTTTTAAAACAATTGATGAACTTTTTTGAAAGCCAAATGCTTGAATTAAAAAAAATCAAATGAGAATTTTTGTAAAATTGGAAGACTAAATCAAGAGTAAATGTGCTTTTCATTTGGCATTTTCCTTTTAGATTGGAAAAGTCTAAAAATCACTGAAAAGAGGAAAGGAAAGACCTTAAGGAAGTGGTCAACTCATGATTATGTCATGTTCTTCTTTGAAACTATGCTACAAAACTCAAAAGTCATTAAAATGGTTGTTAACTAATGCTGCATGTTGTTGTTAAGTGCCATTGAGTTGATGGGTTTCTGAAAAATGGCTGATGAGTTTGATCCCCTAACCTTGTAGTTACCAGTCTAGTGCTTATCCTACAGAGTCACTCCAGGACTCCATAGAAAATACAAAAATTATGGATGACAAACATAACAGTAAGAACAGTAAAACAGCAAAAAACCCAAAACAACTCAAACTCAACCCAATGCCATTTAATTAATTCCAACTCACAGAGACTCTACAGGACACAGTAGAACTGCCTCATAGGATTACCAAGGTTGTAACCTTTACAGCTAGGTGACTCTGTAGGATAAACAATGAACTGCTAACTGCAGGGTTGGAAGTTCAAATCCATAGCCATTCCTTGGAAACTCTATACAGGGTCCTTATGAACTGGAACACTTAACAACAGTATGTATAACCCACTGTCATCAAGTCGATTCTGACCTATAATGACCCAAGAGGACAGAGTAGAACTGCTTCTTATGGTCTCTGAGACTGTAAATCCTTATGGAAGCAGAAAACCTCATCTTTCTCCTGTAGAGTGGCTGGTAAGTTTGAACTGCTGCCTGACCCGCAGCATCACCAGTACTCCTTCTAATATGTATCCACCACTGCCATCCAGCTGATGTTGGCTCAGAGTGTCCCTATATGGGGCTTCCAAGACTGTAAGACTTAAAGGGCGCAGGCGCTCTTATTTTTCTTCTAAGGAGTGGTTGGTGGGATTGAACTGACAACCTTCTGGTTAACAACCCAATGCTTATTCTACAATGCTGTCAGGGCTGTTAATTGTTACTTGCTGTCAAATAATCAAGTCAGTGTCAACTCATGACAACTTTAATAAGTATAGAGTTGCTACAAATCAATAACAAAAAAGATAGACAATCCAAGAAGAAAGTGGGCAAAAGGTATGGGCAAGTCACAAAAAAGGAAATGCATTTGGTACTTAAAAATATCATAATATGGATATGGATATGAATAACAAACTGTACACACATGCAAGCGTATCAGATTAGCAAAGAACAAAGTCTGGTAACACTGAGTTTGGGAGAGGGGAAACAGGTGGGAATGTGGGAATGTGGGAATGTAAATTGGCACAGTGTCTATGAAAAGAATTTAGCAGTGTTGTTGTTATGTGCCATCAAGTTGGTTCCAACTCATAGAGACCCTGTATAAACAGAATTCTAATGCTTTCCTTATATAAAAAAGCTTGAGTGACAATACTCGTTAAATATCTGTAGAAAGATGAATGAAAAACCAGCTTCAGAGTGCAGAACATATCTAGACACAGGTATGGAGGGGGATTGTTGCACTGCATACTTTTTAATCTTTCAGTTCTAAACTGGAGTCCTGGTGTTGTGGTACTATAGGATAAGTGCTCAATGGCAAAGTCGGTTTGAGCCACAAGATCGGCAGTTCAAACCCACCATTCACTGTGGGTCAGGACCAACTTAATGGCACTTAAAAACAATTCTAAATTATTTAGATATATTAAATTGCCAAAATGTAACAATAAAAAAAAGTACACTCATCACCATGACTTGAGATATTTTTATATTAATAGCTACTGAGAAAAATTGGAGAAGTATTTGTAGTTTATAAAAGAAAAGTAAGAAAATACAGTCATGGAGAAAAGTTCTCACAAACAAAACTTTGGAGCCTTAGACGTCTGCTGTACTCGGTTTTGTTTTGTTTTTTTTTAGGAGTTTTTCATGTGGCATTTGTTTGTGAACCATGCCATATAGCTCGGGCATGTAGAAACAGTCATTTGAGTTTTTTTCAGAAACAGTGGTAAGAATCACTGTAAGGTGCCATCTGCTTTTCTGAGTCAGGCCCTGAAGAAGGCAGATGTGATTAGTACAGCGAGTTCTGGGGTTACTCACTGCGAGAACACTTGCTTGAATTAAAAATATGTATATATTTTTGCAGTTGAAAATACACACTCAAAACATACACCAACTCAACAATCTCTATATGTACAATTCACTGGCATTACTTTAAGTTATGCATTTGGTACTTAAAAATTTGTCTATAAAGTTTGTTGTTGTTGTTAAATGCCATCAAGTTGGTTCTGATTTAGAGTGACCCTGTATAGGATTTCCCAGGAGTGGCTGACAGGTTTGAACTGCCAACCTTGAGGTTAGCAATCCAGTGCTTATCCTACAGTGCCACACCAAGACTCCAATATAAACTTACTGACTTCTAATTTTTCCTGGAAAAGGACATCATACTTGGTGAAGTGGGGAGGGTTGATGAAAAAGAGGAAGACCCCTAGGAGATGGCTTGTCACAGCGGCAGTGGCAGCAGCAGTGTGCTCAAATGTAACAACAGTTGTGAGGATGGCACACGACCAGGCAGCGATTTGTTCTGTTGTGATAAAGTCGCTATGAATCAGAACAAGCCTGACAGCACTTAACAACAACAACAGGGTCAGAATAAGGATTATTCTAGTTTTTAGGGTTACAGCTAGACTTATATTTGTTGTTGTTAGGTGCCATCGAGTAGGTACCAACCCATAGCGACCTTATGCACAGCAGAACGAAACACTGCCCGATCCTGGGCCAACCTCACCACTGTTGCCACGCTTGAGTCCGTCGATGCTGCCACTTGGCTAATCCATCTCGTGGGGGGGGGGGGGGGGTGTCTTCCTCTTTTTCTCTGACCTCCACCTTACCAAACATGATATCCTTCTCCAGCAACTGGTCCATCCTGACAATAGGTCCAAAGCATGAGAGACGAAGTTTGGCCATCTTGGCCTCCAAGATTTAGATTTATATTTATTGTTTATTTAATTTTTTCTTGAGATCTACTTGATTTCCTATTCATTTGGAAGCTCTGCTACTCTTTTTACTTTATGGGTTTTTTGTGTGCTGTTGTTGTAACTGTATCTCTTGCTCTGTATTTTTAGTCTTGAAGGTCTGTTTTATTTTGAATACCTGTGTATCTGTCTTGAGTTCTAGGTGATATTGTCATATACGTTAGTCTCCGGTTGTTGTTCGCTGTTGGCTTTCTTCAGATTTTGGTTCTTTTTTTCTGATTGTTCCTTTTGTTGTTGTTGCTAAGTGCTGTTGAGTCAGTTCTGACTCATACTGACCCTGTATAGGGTTTCCAAGGAGAGACTGGCAGGCTTGAACTGCTGAATTTGTGGTCAGTTATCCAGGACTGATCCTACAGCACCACATCAGGACTCTGACATCTCATATTTGTTGTTGTTATGAGCCGTGGAGTCGGTTCTGACTCATAGCGACCCTGTACAGGGTTTCTGAGGGTGTAAATCTTTATGGGAGCAGAAAACCTCATCTTTCTCCTGCAGAACAGCTGGTAGTTTCAAATTGCTGACCCCGAAGTTAGCAGCCTGATTCGTAACCACTATGCTACTACAGCTCCTTGGCATCTTATATATTTTAGATTAATTACTATGTAATAGGAGTCCCTGGCAGAGCCAACAGTTAATGTGCTTGGCTGCTAACCAGAAGGCTGGAGGTTTAATTTCACTCAGGGCTGCCTTAGAAGAAAGGCAGTCTACTTTCCCAAACCCCAGCTATTTAAAACTCTGTGGAACACAGTTCTACTCTGACACACATGGGGCCACCATGAGTTGTAATCAACTCAACAGCAACAGGTACTATTTAACTGTAAAACTAGTTCACACTCTTATCAATTTAGGTGATATTTTTTACCTTAAGTATTTTGGCTCACTGTTGTTGTTAAGTACCACTGTGACAGTTCTCACTCATAGTGACCCTGTACAGGGTTTCTAAGGAGCCACACGTGGGTTTGAAAGTCCTACCAGTCTAGTACTTATCCTGTAGCTCCATCCTAAGATTCTGATGACTTTCATCAGAAAGGCACACAACAAGTAGTGATAACATTATGGGAAATATTGGACTCCTCCATATACTGCTGCTGAAAATGTAAACTGGTGCAGCTGTTTTGGAAATGTTTGCCAGTGCCTTAAACACTTGGTATTAAAAAAAGAAAGAAAAGTTAAAGATAGAGTTACCATTGTTGTTAGGTGCCATCGAGTCACTTCTGATTCATAGCGACCCTCTGCACAGCAGAACAAAACACCATCTGGTATTGTGCTATCTTCACAATTGTTATAATTTGTTTGAGCCCATTTTGCTGCCGCTGTGTCAATCCATCTTGTTGGGAGGCTGTCTCTTTTTCACCAGCTCTCCACTTAACAAGCATGATGTCCTTCTCTAGTTAATGGTCCCTCCTGACCACAGGTCCAGAGTCTGAGAGATGAAGTCTCCCCATCCTCATGTCTCAGGATCATTCTGGCTGTACTTCTTCCAATACAGATTTGTTTGTTCCTCTAGCAGTATTCTTTTCCAACACCATAATTCAAATGCATCAATGCTTCTGTAGTCTTCGTTATTCGTTGTACAACTTTCACATGGTAGGGGATATTTGAAAATACCATATGACCTAGAAACTCAGATCCTAGGTATATATACCCAAGATAACGTAAAACATAGATTCACATAAAAGCTTATGTACAAATGTTCATATCAGCGTTTATCATGATAACCCCAAAGTGGAAACAACCCAAAGGTCTATCAACTGATGATTGAATAAACAAAGTGTACTTTATCCATGTTGTTGTTGTTAAGTGCTATCAGGTCGGCTCCAACTCATAGTGATTCTATATAAGATTTCTTAGGAGCTGCTGGTGAATTTGAACCACCGACCTTGCAGTTTAGTGCCACACCAGGACTTTATCCATACTATTGGATATTATTTATCCATAAAAAGGAATGAATTACTAATACATACTACAATGTAAACCTGAAAAAAACATTATTCTAAGTTTAAAAAGCCAGATATGAAGCACCACATACTATATGATCCGTTTATATGAAATGCCCAGAATAGCTAAATCCATAGAAATGAAAAATAGCTTCTTGATTATTAGAGGCTAAGTGGAATAATGAACATGTTCTAGAATTAGATAGTGGTAAGGAGTCCTGGTGTGGCACTGTGGGTTAATGCGCTGGACTGCAAAGTCGTTTTGAACTGCAAGGTTGATGGTTCAAGCTCACCAGTTGCTCCTTGGAAACCCTCTACAGGGTCGCTATGGGGCGGAACCTACTCGATGGCACTTGACAACTTAACAAAGGGTTACACAACATTGTTAAAATACTGAAACCATTAAGTTTAGCAGTTTAGCATGGTGTATTTTATGGTATATGAATTATATCTCAAAATTATTTATAAAAAGACATATATAGATAGATAGATCGACAAGTATAGGAGCACTAGTGGAACAATGGTGTAAGTGCTAAATGAAAGAGTCTTAGTTTGAACCCAGCAGTGGTTCCATAGGACAAAGACCTTAAAGGTTGTTGTTGTTGTTAAGTGCTCTCGGTTCTGACCCATAACGACTCTGTATAGGGTTTCTGAGGAGCAGCTGGTGAGCTTGAACCACTGACCTTGCAGTTCAAACCAACTTTACAGTACAGCGCATTAACCCACAGCGCCACACCAGAAGTCCTAGGAAACCCTATGGGACAGTTCTACTCTGTCACATTGGGTTGCCTGAGTTGGAATTGACTTGACAACACACAACAACATATATACATATAAGTAAAAAAGCATTTCTACAAACTCATACCAACTTTTATTTAACAAAAATATCAAAATGTGAAGCTATTGTTTTTCATAATATCCTCATCTAGGTCTACATACTGTTGAAACCAAGGTTTCCATCTCTTTAGCCTTTTGTCTGGAGAATTCCACAATTTACTTTTTGGACTCTTTGATTTACTCCATATCAAAACAGTAGTTTGTGAATCCATAGCTTTCTGGTCATCCATGGGTTGCAGAGACCTGATCAAAGACATTTTGTTAGGAATAAGCTATGCAGGTATGAACTGGAACTCTCATAGTGGAATTTGTGACCTATCCTTGTATATACGAGGAGTCTTCAAAGAGTTCATGAAAATGTCTATTATGAAAAAACTATGCAGACTGTTTTGAGAAACTCAGCCTAAGCTTTAGTAGAAAAACACCCAGGGAAACTTCGCCAGAGAGTCCTTCTACACCATGACAATCCTGCTGCTCATTCCTCTCATCAATGAAGGGCAATTTTTTTTTTTTTCCCTGACAGTATGAGTTTTTTTTTTAAGGTTTTTATTGTGGATTCAGTGAAAGTTTACAGGGCACATCATCAGTTTCACACTCAACCATTCATATGACTTGTTTCATTACATTGATTATAATCCCCTCCATACATCATCAGTTAACAGTGTTTCTCTCTATCCTCTTTAGCTTTTTTTGAAGGACAATTTTTGATGGGAAATCATTAGGCACCCTCCTTACAGTCCTGATTTGGTTTCTTCTGTTTCATTTTGTTTCCTAATCTTGAAAAAATGTTTAGCGGCACCCATGTTTTTCATCATTTAATAATGTAAAAAAAAAAAAAAAAAATGCACTGACATGGTTATATTCCCAGAACCCTTCAGTTCTTTAGGGATGGACTAAATGACTGGTATCTTGCTTACAAGTGTGTCTTGACCTTGATAAAGCATATGTTGAGAAATAAATGTTATGTTTTTATCTTGTAATTCCACTCTCCACAAACTTTTTGAAGACCGCTTGTATGTATGTACATGTATATATGTTTGTGTGTGTGTATATGTGGAGTCCTAGTGTGGTGCTGTGGGTTAATGCATTGTCCTGCAAAGTTGGTTTGAGCCATAAGGTTGGCCTTTCAAGTTCACTAGTCACTATGGGTCAGAACCTACTCAACCGCACTTAACAACAGCAACACACCATACACACTCACATATGTTATTGTTGTTGAGTGCCATAAAGTTAGTTGCGACCCATAGCGACCATATGTTGTTGTTAAGTGCCATCGAGTTGGTTCTGACCCATAGTGACCCTGTGTAGGGTTTCTGAGGAGTGGCTGGTAAGTTTGAACTGCTGACTTTGTGGTTCAAACTGACCTTGTGGTCCATTGCTTAATCCCATAGTACACATATATATATGGAGTCCTGGTGTGGCGCTGTAGGATCCACATTGGACTGTGAACCACAAGGTCTGCAGTTCAAACCTACCAGCTGCTTTTTGTAAACCCTATACCGGGTCACTATGAGTTGGAACTTACTCAACGGCACTTAACAACTATATATATATAGATATAGGTACAGATATAGATATATAATCTCATTGTACATACACACACACACACACACACACACACACACATACACACAAAAAAGGGCTTCAAAATTTCTGGAAAAGATAACGAAATTTTTCTATGAACTTTTTGAAGCCCCCTTATATATGTTGTTGTTAAGTGCCACCATGTTGGTTCCAACTCATAGCAACCCTTTATAGGGTTTCCGAGGAACGGCAGGTGGGTTTGAACCACTGACCTTGCTGTTCAAACAGACTTTGCAGTCTAGTGCTTATCCTATAGTGTCACACAATGAGTATAAAGGTGATATCAGTGACTTTTCTCAGGTGCAGAACATTGAGAACCAAGGAGTGATTGTCAGAAATGTTTGCCTCTCCTTAAATCTGTTTGCAGGGAGCATAGCTTCATTCCAGGCTCCAAATGCCAGACTCCGGCTGGTGGTCCTCGCCCTTGGTGTGTTTTCCTCGCTTATCGTGCAAGCTGTGACTTGGTGGTCAGGAAGTGGCCTGCAAAGGTATGATTTGTATCTTGTGTGCTCATGGACAGACAAGTACATTAGTATCCACAAGGAAATGTGTACTTAGATCAAAAGATCTAAGTTCCACTTCTTAAAGTTTCATTATTTACCTTCCATATGGCCTTGCAAAGGAACCCGCCCTGGCAGCACAATAGTGAAGTGCTCAGCTGCTGACCCAAAAGTCAGCGGTTTGGACCCTCTAGTCACTGCATGGGAGAAAGATGTGGCAATCTGCTTTATAAAGATTGCTGTTGTTGTTGCTAAGTGCTGCTGACCTTGCAATTAGCAGTCCAGTGCTTATCCTGCAGCACCATACCAGGACTTCTCACTACCTTGGAAATCTTATGGGACAGTTCTATTCTGTCCTACAGCATAGAGTATAAGGCCGAATCAGCTTGACTGAAATGGTTTGGCTTAATGGGTTTATGGCCTTGCAGAAGTCTTTTTCTCTTACTTCCTTTTCACAAAGTCAGGATGTGAATAATTGCTGTCAAGACAATTGGGAAAATTTTAAAAACTGTAACAAGTTGCTTCTATAGTGGGCTATATAAAAACTGAGTCGTATGAATTATGAAGCATTGCCAAGACCACGGTTTCAGATACTCATTTTATGAAACTGACATTAGAAATGTACATAGCTCAGTATTATGCATGTTACTGTTGTTGTTAGCCGCCACTGAATCACTTCAGACTCATAGGGACTCCATATACAAAAGGAGAAAACACTGCCTGATTCTGTGCCATCACCCTAATTGTTGCTATGTATTAGCTGATTGCTGGAGTCACCGTGTCAATCTATCTCATTGAAGGATTTCTTCTTTTTCAATCTCTCTCTACTCTACCAAACATAATGTCCAAAGTGTGGGGATGAAGTTCTGCCAACATTGCACTTGAAAAGTCTTTAAAAAAGATTTTATTTTGTAACAAAAAGGGGGGGAGTAGTTAATCTTACAGTCCAGGAACAGAAGACCCTAGGACCTTCAAGGGAAAAGCGCACCAGTGGAATGTGGGGCCCTATCCAGAGAAGCAGTGACACCAAAGATGGAGGCAGAGATGATGACAAAGAGAGATAGAGTAGCTGAGGACTCTAGACTCATGGAAAGAGAAAGGCTGTGTGCTGGTGACCAGGAGGCAGGCTTGCAGATTGTGGTCTTTGGTTGTTTAAATTATTATATATTCCTGAGTATTTTTGTGTACATTAAAAAAAACAAAAAAACCCAGAAGGAATAGAAGCAAATACTGTTGAATGATGATGCATGGAGGTGATTGTGTAATCATTGCAATGAAATGAAATACAATAGAATGAGTGTAAAACTGATGTTCTTCCATGTACTCTATCACTCAGTGCACAATAAAAACTTAAAAAAAAACAGTAACTTTTGCATTTACAGGTACCTCCGAATCTGGGGATTCATTTTAGGGCATATTCTTCTTCTTGTTCTCCGCATATGGTACACTTCTCTAAACCCAATCTGGAATTATCAGATGCCTAACACCGTGATTCTGACATTAAGTGCTGTAGCCACATTTGATCGTATTTACACAGGTAAGTGTATGTCCAATTTACTTAGGGTTTTTCTGTGTTGCGGTTTTTTTTTTTCTTCTCTCAATGAAACACAAGAAAAACCATACAATTAGTTTTTGTGCACTATACCTCTGTTTCAACTTCCTTTCCTTCTGAAATGGTAACTGACACATCCAATGGGCTGTTACTATAAGCAGTAGGCACCTTTTTCATTTGTTAGTACAGAACCAAACCAATAAAACCAAATTCATTACTGTCCAGTTGATCCAACTCATGGTGACCCCATGTGTGTCAGAGTAGGACTGTACACCATAGGGTCTTCAATCTCATGGAGGAGTACTGGTCTGACACTGTAGGATAAGCACCAGCCTGCCAACAGCAAACTCACCACTTGTTCCTGGGAAACCCTATATAGGGTTGCTATGACTTGATGACACTTAACACCAATCTTGCAGACATAGTTTGCCAGATCCTTCTTTTGCAGCACCACTGGGTAGATTTGAATTGCCAATCTTTTGCATTGTTTGGGGACCATCCTATATAGACTGAAGGTGAAAAGAAAAGAATCGTCTTTGGCTTGTATCATGGTAGCAGTGGCGAGTAGAACCAGCAGGCCTTATACTCCCAGGCCGCTTCTGCTTTTTCTCCTCTTTACCTCTGGATTGAGCTTTCCAGGATGACCTTCTCCATCATGCCACCTACACGCCCTGCCCAGAATATTTCCAGTACTGTGAGAAATTACCTGAAAGCTAGGGCTGGGAAACTACTTGCATTGACCTGTTCCACTCCCCCTACCCCAGCAGACACAAGAAGTTAGAAGATATTGAAGCTCAAAATCTGAAACTTAAAAAATAAATCTCCTACATTCACACCTCCTTTCAAGTCACCTGGAATTGACTCTCTCTCAGGCCTATCCACACCCAACTTTGACTTTTGATTTGCAAGCTTACTTGAGACCTTTCTGAAAAGAAGGCAGAAGTGTTACTTGCTCCGGGCTGTTTCAGTAGCTCTTGGGGAGGCACTGTTCTTTTGTAAATGCAAGGAGAAATCTCACAGATTGATGCAAGTCTACAGGGTGTGGGCTCACCATGAACAAAGGGCTTGTATAATTCCCTTCTGGCCCCAGTTTTGACATAAAGTGAGTCAGGAGAATAGGGAGAAATCATGCAAATAAATTGGCCATATGACATTGCTATTAGTTAGTATGAGCTAGAATATGTAGACCTTGATCTAGGCCCTTAGTACATGCTTTATATTTTACAGAACACTCGCATCTAGAGGTAGAAACTCAGGCAGCAGATTCCACAGGCAGAGCTGGATTAGGAGCTGAACTTCAAAGGACTGTTTGCATTTCCTGACCTGAGTTTTTTTTTTCATTTTCACCTGTTTTAAATTGATGTGACCCAGTTGCTGACTGTCAGTCCCTTCCTGTATCTGCCCAATACTCCCATGTACAAATCTCAGATTTCTCACCAACCTACCAGGGTGTCGGGCTACCCAAGGTGTATTTTGAGGTTTTACTGAAGATTTATGAAGTCTTGGGGCAGGGTTTACCCACATAAAGAAACAGTTGTGTGTGTGTGTGTATATAAAATTGTTGCTGTTAAGTGCCATTGAGTAAGTTCTGACCCATAGCAACCCTGTGTAGGGTTTCTTAGGAGCTACTGGTGAGTTTGAACTGCTGACCTTGTGGTCCAAACCGACCTTGTGGTCCAGTGTTTATTCTATAGTGCCACATTGGGACTCCAAACCATGTATCTACATATATGTATATGTGTATATATGTATGTTATTAAGTGCCTTCGAGTTGGGTCCAACTCATAATGATCCTGTATATGGTTTCCAAGGAACAACTGCTGGGCTTGAACCACTGACCTTGAGGTTAGCAGTCCAATGCTTATTAAGTCAATTCCAACTCATAGCAACCCTATGTAGGGTTTCCAACTATTTCCAACTTCTCATCTCCTGTTTTAAAGTAAGTTACTTGAAGCCAGGAACCATGTCTCACTTGGTATAAAAGGTTGCTAAAGTAAATATAGAGAGTTATTAGCCGTATTACTGACCTTTTTCTGATTTTTAATTCTAGATGGTGACTCTGGTAGACTTGAGGGGAAGAAGAATGGTGAGGCAGCTAAAGGGATGGTCTCGAGACCAAGCTGGCTGTTGACAGGAGCTGCCTTTGGTAGCCTTGTGTTCATCACCCACTGGATATTTGGAGAGGTTTCTCTTGTTTCCAGATGGGCAGTGAGTGGGCATCCAGATTCAGGGCCAGATCCTAACCCATTTGGGTGAGTATGGTTTTGGAAAGGCAATGGCTAGAGGAAGAAATGCTTCCTTTGCTGTGTAGCTTGGTTTGTGGCAGCCAGGAAGTTTATAGTCCATTCTCCCTGGATATGCCACCCGTGTTTCAAATACCAGCTGTGTTACCCAGGGTGCACTGATTCCAGTGGATTTACTTCCAAATTTTACCCAGTGACAATCCTGTGAATCACAACAGAATATTGTCCAGTATAGTGTTGGAAGATGAATGCTGTAGGTTGGAACCCACTACCACTGAGTCAGTTCCGACTCATAGTGACCCGAAGGACAGAGTAGAACTGCCCATAGGGTTTCCAAGGCTGTAAATCTTTACGGAAGTAGACTGCCCCATCTTTCTCCTGTGGAGGGGCTGGTGGGTTTGAACAGCTAACATTGGGTTATCAGCTAAGCACTTAACCACTGTGTCTTAAAAGTTCCTTCTTAGGTTGGAAGACACTCAAAATGCACAGTGGATACAATACATTGAAGCTTACCAACAACTGAGAAGATGATGCATTACTAGACGGTGTTTCATTCTGTGTACATGGGGTCATGTGAGTCAGAGCCAATGTCAGCCTCAATAACAACACACATCAAAAGCATTGTATGAACTGACTGTGTACTCTGAGAGGAAGGAGCCAGGAGAGTATTTGCCTCTATGTTGAAGAATATCTGAAAAGATATCTGAAGAGTAGATGCTCTTCAGATGAGGGAGACTGGAGATTGTGTCCTGTTAAGAGACCTTTCCACCACTTGTCCGTCATTTTGTTGTACTGTGGTGGCTTGTGAGTTGCTGTGATTCTGGAAGCTATGCCACGTTATCACCCAAGCCAGAAACCTAAAGTCATCCTAACATTCTGCCCTCTTTATTTCTCCCAAGTAATTTGGCATTAAGTCTGATCAATTCCATTGTTGTGATTGTTAGATGACATCAAGTTGGTTCCAACCCATAGCAACCTTATGCACAATAGAATGAAATACTGCCTGATCCTATGCCAACCTCACAATCATTGTTACACTTGAGCCCATTGCTGCTGCCATTATGTCAGTCCATCCTGTTGGAGGTCTTCCTCTTCATCACTGACCTTCCACATTACCAAGCATGATAGCTTTCTCCAGGGAGAAATGAGGTCTGGCCATTTTGGCTTCTAAGGAGCATTCTAATTGTACTTCTTCCAACACAGATTTATTTGTTCTTCTGCCAGTCCATGGTGTTTTTAATATTCTTCTCCCACACCATAACTTAAATGCATCAATTTTTCTATGGTCTTCTTTATTCATTGCCCAACTTTCACATGCATATGAGGCTTTTGAAAATAACATGACTTGGGTAAGGCACACCTTAGTCCTCAAACTGACATCTTTGCTCTTGAACACTTTAAAGAGGTCTTGTACAGCAGATTTGTCCAATGCAATACATCATTTGATTTCTTGACTGCTGCTTCCATGAGTGCTAATACTAGATCCAAGCAAAATGAAATCTTTGACAACTTCAGTCTTTTCTTCATTTCTGTGGATGTTGTTTATTGGTTTATTAGTGGTGAGGATATTTTTCTTTACATTGAATTGCAACCCATACTGAAGGCTGTGGTCTTTGATCTTCATCAGTATGTATTTTAAATCCTCTTTGCTTTCAGCAAGCAATGTCATATCCACTACTTTTTGCAAATGAAATCCCTTCTTCTCTAGCCTCCACCTCGTCTGCTTTAGTGGAGTTCACGACTTCTCACCATGGCTATAGCTGTTGTCTCTCAATGGCCTCTCAGTGTAGCCTCCTTCCCTCTCGCTTTACACTGCCCCAGATTGGTTTCTCTAAAATACATATCTGACTCCATCACTCCCTTGCTTAAAAAATGTTCAACAGTTTCTTGTTTTGTTTCTATTTATCTCAAATGTGGTAGAATCTGACTTCTCTACTTACCTTTCCAAAAGGTTTCTATTTTATCCCTCACTCTATGCTTCACCTGGGCTGAATCCATGTGCAATTCCATGAAAGTTCCAGGAAAAGTGCTGGGCCATTCCTTCAGGACGCCATCTGTATACCCACGCTGTGTCCTCTGCCTGGGCTCTCATTGCCTTGATGTTCTTGTACACTCTTACTCATCCTTCAAGACCCAGCTGTGCATTTCCTCTGAAGTCATCTCTGATTATCCCATGGGTTCTCTCCTTTATGCCACATAGTGACCTGAATCTCTCTCTCTCTCTCTCTCTCTGTGTTTTATCTATTATTATTATTATTGTTATTATTATTATTACTCTGTGTTTTTATTATCAAGGAGCCCTGGTAGCACCTTGATAATGAGTGAAGCATGTTACTGTGAATCAAAATGTCACCAGTTCAAACCCACCAGCTGCTCCAGGGGAGAAAGAAGCCATCTGCTTCCATAAAGATTTACAGCCTGGAAAATCCTATGGAATAGTTCTCTGTCCCACAAGGTCACTGACTTGATTCAGTAGAAGTTGTTGTTGTTGGGTGTTATTGAGTTGGTTTGAACTTATCGTGACCCCATGTGACTAAAGAGAACTGCCCATAGGATGTTCTTGTCTGCAATCTTTATAGAAGTTGACAGTCACATCTTTCTCATTTAGTGAGCAGCTGAGTGCTCATCTGAAGTCCCACTCAGGCTCTTTATTCCACATTACAGTATTTTATTTATTTTTTTAAAGTTTTTATTGTTGATTGAGTGAAAGGTTACAGGACAGATCACCAGTTTTGCATTCAATAAATCATACAACTTGTTTCATTACAATGATTACAATCCCCTCCATGCACCATGATTTCTCTCCATTTACTTTAGCTCTTTTTTTAAAAAATGAAAACACTCAGGCATATGTAATAATTTACACCACCAAAAGGCACATTCTGCAAGGCTGCTGCCTGGCTGCCAGCTCTCAGTCCCTCTCTTTCCATGAATTTAGAGTCCTCAGCAGCTCTCCTCTCCATGTCCCCATATTTGCCTCCACCTCTGGTATTGCTGCTTCTCTGGATAGGGTCCTGCATTCCGCTTGTGCTTTTTTCCCTTTATGGTCCTAGGGTCCTTTGTTTCTGGATTGTAAGATTAACTGCTCCCCCATTTTAGTTACAAAACTTCTACCTTTACAATTGTTAGAGTTGCAATTAGTCATGATAACAATTACTCACTGTTGAATCATAAGAATCTTATCCCCATCTCTTTTCATCAGATCCATCAAGACAGGATGAAAACTATTCAATGGGGACTCTTTCTTCCCCACACACTCATAAACTAAACAGCCTCTTGAAACCTTGTAAGCTGTTCACTTCGTGCCTTTATTGCCCCCCTATCTACCCTGTATAGAGGGCATAGCATTGATACTTGATGTGAAGACTCCTTCCCTCTCTGTTGGTATTTAGAGTTACTACCCCCATGAGTATAGGTCA